TGCTATTCTGCTCGATCTTCTTCTTTTTGGTCGATCCTCCTTCTCCCAATCCGGTTTTCTCCACTTCGAGATTGCTCGACCGATGATGCAAACCGGTCTATTCCCCAGCTATATAATATCCCATATCATATATATATATATATATATATATATATATATATATGTATAATAAGAATAACCATCTACTAAAAATTTTAGAAGCATTTAATGCATACCTTTTTTTGGAAAACTTTTTAAATATATGCATTAATTGCTTCCATATACATGTTTTCAAATAAGATCAAATCAGATATTATCAAAAATAATAATTCCTTAAATAATTTTATTAATATCCCCAATAATTTCATTGATATCCATTATAATAAACTACAATATTAATTTTCCGTGATTCATGCTGATGATATTTTGGTAAAGATAAATATTACAACATATTTTAAATTTTAACCATAATATTAATTTTTTTCACAAATATTCACTTTTTTATCCAAAAATTTTTGTAGAAAATCGTAACATGATAATTTTTTCTTAAGCTTTATTTCGTTATACATAAAAAATAAACAAAATTAATATAATTTATCATTTAAGAGATATTGATTAGATACATTAAATAGTTTTGCTAATGGTAAAAAATTAAAATTGAAACATATTAACTGCTATTTAAAATTTATTTGTATATTATTGGCAACCATGATTATTTATTTTTTTATTTTTTTATCTTGATTTCTTTCTATGATGAGTTCTTGTAAAATATATTTTCATTGCAGAGTATGCTAAATAAACTATAAATCCTTATAATGCAAATTAGAAAAATCTTGATTATAGAAGGGATTGAATTTTTTCCATTTGCTAAATTAAAGTTGTTTAATTAATATACAAAATTAAATTCTAAAAAAACATGTGTACATATTTTGTAAAATATTTATACAATATTTAATACTAAATTTATTTATATAATTTAAATTGATTAATAGATAATATTAACTTGCATTAAATATTCTTCATTACGTAAAATTAAAAGAAAAAAAAGACGTGCAATTTCTATAACTTTTATAAATAATAATGACATTATATGACAACAAAGTTTATAATAAAATAATAACTAAGTATTATATGGTGAACAAGAATAAGTATAACTGTTATTTTCTCTTATATATATCAAAGAATAAATATATATATATATATATTAAAATCAAACTTATATTAGTATAAATGTGTTAGTGAGATAATATATTAATTATTTTACAATCTAGTCCTAACATACTCATATTTAATGTTCTGGCTAAAGAAAAAATATTGATTAAATGAGGTGGAAAATAAATTATAATCCTATTATTTTTTAGACTGAACGCTGATTAAAAAAATATGGAAAATAAGTGATAACCCTTTGTAGACTTAACCAGACAAACTGTGCAAATAACTTATTTAATAACTTTATCCCGTGTATCGCACGGAGTACGTACTAGTTTTGATATATAAGACGACAAGGTTTTATTTGAAAATAATATTAGCAATTAATATTAAAAGTAATGAAAAAATATATTTTCTTATATTATTAATTAATTGTGAAGTTTCGTATAATTGGAGTATAAAATGAATATGCCAGACGACTAGACGAGTTACTATGATAGAAAATGCTTCAGTCTGGGAAGCCTGAAATGTTATTAATCATATAATCCACAAAAGACTATTCACACACACATAAAGTGTACACGTGGAGGCTCAGCAAGACCTCTTGATCTTAGGACCACTTTTCCCGTGGCATCTCTATAAGGCACGCGGCCTCCAAAGAGTCCCGCCGCCACACTACTATTCCTTCCTCTCTCTTACTTTCTCTCTCTATACACACGAATGATATTTATACTTTTGTTTTTACTTTTAGTTTTTATAAATTGTAGCCGAGTTGAACACTCCTCCACGTTTTGAATTGTTCAGACTAATCCTGTATTTTCTGTTCATACCACATAACAAGTACAGTAGTGTTTGAAATAAAATAAAATATTATAAAATGTTCCTAATTTTATAATATGGTATCTTATTCCTAGTCGTATTTTATGTACTAACGCTTGCGATGTATACAAATTCATGAGGTAGGTTAACCTTAAAAGAAATATGTTCCTCGAATGTTTTTTTTAATAAAATGGTATTTATGATAAGAAATGTTACAATTATCAATTTTTTGAATATATTATTATAATTTGAAAGTATGAAATTAAGATGAAAATAAGTCCAACCGACCATATTCTTAACTAGTTGATATAACAATTGTTCTATAAAACTAAGCACAAAATTTAATATAACTTCCAATTAAAAATGCTAAACTAAACAATAAAAAAACTCTTGAAAAGGAAATCGCTGATATGATAAAAAGAGCGCCATAAAGTATGATTACGAAGCTTGATTTTTTGCAAAATATGATTACGAAGCGTGAGAGTTTGCCATGTAGGATCAATTTATTCTGATGTTATATATAAAGGGGATAATAATAATAATAATAATAATAATAATAATAATAATAATNTTTGATTAAAAAAAAAAAAAACCCTTTGAAAGACCCAAACAATTATATCTAAGACTGAAATTGGAATAATATAATAACTAAAACAAAAACTTCTAGAGTTGTAGGTAGATTAGAGATGCTTCGTTTACTCCAATTGGAGCGGTCATTTTTTATTTAGTTCGTGGATATGAGCAACGTGTACCAGCCATCAAATAATGCAAAATTATAGCATATTTGTGATATAACTGAATAAAGCTATAAATTAAAGTTTTGATCTTGTATGATAGAAAATCCACAACATTCCACTGCAATCCCTAAAAGAGGCTCCTCTGAATTTTATTATCTTTCGGCTGTGCACGTAGAGTAGAATTTTCAATTTTATCTTGTTTTCTAAGTGGTGAACTAATAAGCTTCCTCATTTGGGGATCTAAAATATCATTTATGAGTTATGACTATCATAATTCATATATGATTCAATTAAGGCTATGATTGGTAAAACTAGGTGATAGCTTGTCAGTAATTTTCGAGCTTATAGCTTATAGCGGAAAAGTTAACTTATATGATAAAAGTGTTTAGTAAAATTAGCTGATAAGCTACCTAAATTAATAATTTCAACGAACTTATTTGAAAAGCTATCCAAAGAAGTTTATAAAATAAGTTTCAGTTTTTTAAAAAAGTTTGTCCTACCAAACGGAATTTATTTGAACACAAAAAACTAATAAGCTAACAAAAAAAAAAACTATATGTCTATCAAACGTAGCCTAAATTACTTCATATTAAAGTTACTTCATGTAAATGGACAATTTTACTATAGATAAATATGTAGTAGCATGTGGTTCAAATAATAACTAGACTTTACTATGAGAATCGGGAGAACAGTATTCTTTAATTGCATGGGAAATGTTCCCCTATCCACGGCAGACACATGTTAATATGCCCACTGTTTATGTGACATACACACATTGGTGATGTATTTTTTTTATAGTACATATAGTACATTGTGTTTGTTGTTATTTTTTTTTTTTTTTTTTAAAAAATAATAATTCTATAAATATAATATCATTTGTGTATATGATAGCAATATATAATATAAAAATATGAACGTATAATTAAAAAAGTTAGAATTACCAACTGAAAACATAATCATCCATATTGATTTTCATAGCATATCATGTCAGAATTTGTTTTTATTACAACCTAATACGTGTGTTCGAGTTGTTTATCTTGTTTTTATTTATATGTTTACATCATCACTATAGCTAGATCGTGAATATATTCTGGGAATTTTCTTAGAGAAGACTCGTGACCATAAATCATTGCGAGATTACTTTTGTCCTTAACCTAGAACTAAAACGATGGGTGGCTTTATCAAGTTCAGCCCCCATTGCTCATCTTTCCAATTCTATTCCAATAACTATACAGATTGTTTTCATATAGAAGTGACAAAGACATTTGAGTAAAAACATCTCTCAATGGAATCAATTATGCACACACACAACACTACGCAACACGTACATATATAACTCGCAATTCTAAAATCCAATTATAAGTTATCAAAGGCAAAAATAGGAATGGAAAAAAAGGAACAAATCACTCAAATTCATCACAGAATTACATTTTGAAATCCTTCTTTGTCATCACCCCATCCAACAAAGCTAAAAATAATAAAAACCCCGATAAAGAAAAAAAAAAGGATAATTAAGTACTTAAAGCTAAATTATTCCCCTTAAGTTCCAC